CGGCGCCATGGAGGAGGGCTCCAGCTCGCCCGTGTCCCCCGGGGACAGCCTGGGCACCAGCGAGGAGGAGCTGGAGCGGCAGCCCAAGCGCTTCGGCCGGAAGCGGCGCTGCAGCAAGAAGTCCAGCGAGGACGGCAGCCCGACGCCGGGCAAGCGCGGCAAGAAGGGCAGCCCGAGCGCGCAGTCCTTCGAGGAGCTGCAGAGCCAGCGCATCCTGGCCAACGTGCGCGAGCGGCAGCGCACGCAGTCGCTCAACGAGGCCTTCGCGGCGCTGCGCAAGATCATCCCCACGCTGCCCTCCGACAAGCTCAGCAAGATCCAGACGCTGAAGCTGGCCGCCAGGTACATAGACTTCCTCTACCAGGTCCTGCAGAGCGACGAGATGGACAATAAGATGACCAGCTGCAGCTACGTGGCCCACGAGCGCCTCAGCTACGCCTTCTCCGTGTGGCGCATGGAGGGCGCCTGGTCCATGTCCGCCTCCCACTAGCGCCCGCCGCCGCCCGGACCGGCGCCAGGGTAGGTCTGCGCGGGGCGCCGTGCCTGCGGGGGCGGCCCACGGCCGCGTGGATGGGGCGCACTGGCGTGGTGGATTGCGGGGTGCGCAGCAGTTGGGGGAGCAGGGGAGCGCTGACGTCCGAGGGGCGCCCCCGGCCCTTCCAGGCTTCCGTGGCACTTGAGAGAAGGGGGCGAGGACCCTCCCAGCAGAGTCCCAGGGCACACTTTGGACCCCGGGGCGGTACCCGTCCGGGTCGTGTGGGCAGTGGGCCTCAGGGACTCGCCCAGGGCCAGCCAGCGGAAGGGCGATGGGGGCCAGCCCTTCTCGTCCCTGGAGCCGAGGCCGCCCCAGGCGGTGGCTTCCCGTCTTCCCGGGAGCAGCGAAGCGCGGCGGGCCGCCTCTCCCACGCTGCCTGCGCCGGGAGCTCCGCGTTTGCCCGCGCCTCGGAGGCAGGGCCGTCGTGTTTGCTCAAGTGGAGTTGCGGCCGGCAGCCCCGGCCTTGGCCCCGGAGGGCGGAAGACACTGGCTTCGCGGGCGGCGCCGGGCC